ATGTTGTTTGTATTTTATTAAGTTATTATTGTTGTGTCAATCTATTCAAAAATCTACACCTAAACTACACAGTATGTTGCTGGGCAAAGTAAAAAAATTACAAACGATACAAAATGGTGCTGAACAGAGGTGAGTGAATTTTTTTTATATACATGATAATGGAAATAATTAGCTGGAAGGATAAAGTAAGAAACGAAGAAGTACTACACAGGGTAAAAGAAAAAAGACAAATATTGAACACCCTAGAAAATAGACAAAAAATGTTAGTGATACGGCACGATGATTTCATGAAAATTATTATTGAGGGGAAAATAGAAGGAAAGAGGGGGAGGGGAAGACCAAGGAATAGCTACATCAAACAAATTGAGGACAAAATGGGAGTCGTGTCGTATCAAGAATTAAAGAGCATGATGGAAGATTTTTTATGAATGAATGAATGAATGAATGAACATGATAATGTAATGATGCACCCGCCTGCGCTAACGGTTTACGCTGGCGGGGCACCAGTGGAGGATGATAAGATGAGTATGAAGGTCAGGCCAGTTAGCCCATCGTGGTAAATTCACCATGAATTTATCAAATGGTTTCCAGGGGGAACCAGATGGAGGTCAACCTGATATAGTACATTCCTAACAACTCCCTTCCCCCTAGAGGGTGGTATTATTTTGCTGAGTTGATGTTTTATTTTTTAGAACGTGATTAGCTATTGATGATCAGCCTGGCTATACCAGCCAGGCAGCCAGCAGACGAAGTATGTTTGAATCTTTGAAAAGAGAGTATATTGTCAACTTTTCTTGCCCTTTGTTTGTTTTTTTTTGTGGATGATAATGGAATGATGCACCCGCCTGCGCTAACGGTTTACGCTGGCGGGGCACCAGTAGAGGATGATAAGATGAGTATGAGGTCAGGTCAGTTAGAATTTAAATTCACTAAGAATTTATCACGATGATTTCTAGGGGGAACCACGTGGAGGACGACCTGACATCATGATCATCACAATCACCTTTCCCCCCTCAGCTTCTCTGTTGAAATAACCGTTTTCTCTAACATAATAATTAATGTGTTAATATCCCCATTACATTCAAACGAGGATCATAATTACGACTTCAGCCGAGGTTCGGACCCCTAGTGGTGCCCTCAGACTAAAGTATCGGTCAAGCGGGAGTTGTCCTTCAGCCGCTCCATAAGTCCTTCCATTGGTTTAGAGTGCCATCTGCACTCACCCCCTAGGTGCCGTTCAAGTATTACGTAGGTAGATTTATTACAATTATTTACCCCCACCCCCGTTGTCAGCAAAAGTAAGCAAGGCTCTTACCTCCTCCCCCCATGCTTCCGTAAACATTTTTCAATTATAGTAATGTTTTTAGCAAAGACAATGTGAGGGTTGCCATTCGTGTACAAAAGTAAATAACTACCTATGACATAATCATTATCTAGACTCCCCCACCCCCCATGTCATCCAAAATAAGCAAAGCAAAGACCCCCCAGTGCTTACTTAATACTCGAATGGCCCCCCCCTCCTTCCGGTGAAGCTGTAAACGCCAGCTGCGGCCAACAGCAGATCACCGAGGCCGTCCAAATTCATTAAATTCAAAATTCAAGATATCTTTATTCATGTAGGTCTATTAAAGACTCTTATGATATGTCAAATCTACAGTCAGTTCGGAATTATATCGAGATGAGAAGAACTGACAAGAAACTCAGCTCGTATTCTTTTCAAATAAATGTTGTACATGTTTACAATAATACAGTCATTTAAATTCAAATTTGGAAGAATAGAGTGGCCACTAGCATATGCTATTGCAAAGAAAAAAAATCTAATCAGTCACAACCTGAACAGATCACTCCCCACAAGCAGCACCCGTTCACGAGTATGACACAATTCGAAAAGAAATTAATAATGTATTAACATTTGGTCTCGGCTGTACACGGTATCAATAAGTACACAATAGTTTTGTTTACAAACACTCAACTCGTGAATATCCGGAATTTTTCAGCGTATTTTGAAAGGTAATTAACCAATTTTGTACCTTAATCTATAAGCCAAAGGTATGATAATGGAGTCTGTACAGATTCTGCAGTATAAAACAAGATTTATGTTCTGTTTTTTTATGGATGATTGTGGAATGGTGCAGCCGCCTGTGCTAATGGTTTACGCTGGCGGGGCACCAGTGGAGGATGATAAGATGAGCATAATGTCAGGTCAGTTAGCCCATCGTGGTAATTCCACGATGGTTTCCAGGGGGAACCACGTGGAGGTCAACCTGACATGGTACATTGCTAGCAATCAGGTCAGTTAGCTCATCGTTACTTATAAATCCCCCTTCCCCCATAAACAGACATTGTTTCCAGAGGGACCACGTATCAAAAACAGACATTGCTAGCTTGCTAGCTAACAATGGGGTCAACAGTCCACATTACTAACAATCCCCTTTCCCCCCAGTAAACAGACATTGCTAGCTTGCTAGCTAACAATGGGGTCAACAGTCCACATTACTAACAATCCCCTTTCCCCCCAGTAAACAGACATTGCTAGCTTGCTAGCTAACAATGGGGTCAACAGTCCACATTACTAACAATCCCCTTTCCCCCCAGTAAACAGACATTGCTAGCTTGCTAGCTAACAATGTACCAAGTCCACATTGACTACTAACAATCCCCCTTTCCCCCATCGTGATAAAACATGACATTTGTCAGTAAACAGACATTGCTAACTGCTAGCTAACAATTCATCTTATCATTCCACTCTTCAGCTATCTTATCATCTTCCAATCCCCTTTCCAGCCCCTAGTAAACAGACATTGCTAGCTTGCTAGCTAACAATGGGGTCAACAATCCACATTAAAAACAATCCCCTTTCCCCCAGTAAACCCATTAACAAAAAACATTGCTAGCTTGCTAACTAGCAATGGGGTCAACAGTCCACATTACTAACAATTCCCAGTTACCCTTAAACACTTAGACTTCTTTTTCTAAGTCGGTTTATTGCGCCTCAACTATTTCCATATTTCCGCGTATAGATAAGCTCTTATTTTGTAAATATTAATAATCTTAATAAATATAATATTTTTCCTTCAAATAATATAGTTATTATCGTATTGAACGATGCAGTTATACTGTTTTGTTATCCCGTCTTTGTTTGCTTTTTATTTGACGATCTCAATGGTCTAGCATTATCGGTTTAGTTAGGATGGTCGCAGGTTTGATTCCTCGCACGGTGTAAGCTAGAGATGAAACTGATATCCAGCCTATCAGATGGACTTAATTCTATCCGGCTGAATTAAAAAAAATCTGGGTATAATTATTTTTTTTAAGTAATTATTTGCTTTATTTAGTTAGTTAGTCTTAGTATTACATAAGGAATAAAATTAATTTTAGTTTTAAATTTTTAATCACTCAATAGTAAATGACTGTTATAGAAAGAAAATGAATTTATTAGTTAGCTAAGTTCGTCGGTCACATGGTTGGCCGAATATCCGGTATACGGTATCCGGCCAAATCCGTTTCATCTCTAGTGTAAGCTTTTGTATTCAAGATTATGATTGTTTGTATGGGTCTCGGTGCTGTATGTATTTACAAAAAAAAATGTAAGTATTTATATCAGTTGTCCAGTACCCATAACACAAGCTCAGCTTACCGTGGGACTAGATGGTGCTGTGTTAATTGTCCAGGGTTATTTATTATTATTATTATTTATATATCAGTTGAAGAATCTTAACGATAATAATGTTTTTATAGAAAAACCCATAACACAAGCTCAGCCTTGACATTGCTACTTGAATTAAGAATATAAAAAATCATGAATCTTGCATTCTTCTTGTGATGAATGAATGTGGTAGAATCAAAATATGACTATTCAAAAGTGCTTGAAATGAGTTTATTTGAATAAAGATTATTTCTATTTCTATTTCTATTTCTACTTTACAAATATAACGATGTTTATATTTAAAACTACAATGCTAAATACATATATTCAACTAGCTTTTGCCCGCGGCTTCGCTTGCGTTATATTATCCCCTAGAATTTATCAAAATACTTTCTTATGGGATGCCTGCGCGCTTGAATGAATGTGTCGTATAAAGGCAGTTAATGTAGAACTTGTAGATACCATTACCACAGATAATATAATATTATATACATTACTGAATGTATTTATACTATTTTGTTTAATTCCGCTACCATAATCATGTGTGAGACCACAAATATTCAGTTCGGAAACCTGACCACCGCTACTGGAAGCGTTACGACCTTCTATTGGTGATCAAATTTCGACCGTTATCTAAGTATATATAACTCAAAGGTGACTGACTGACATAGTGATCTATCAACGCACAACCTAAATCACTGGACGGATCGGGATGAAATTTGGCATGCAGGTAGATGTTATGACGTAGACATCCGCTAAGAAAGGATTTTGATTAATTCTACCCTCCAGGGGTTAAGTAGGGGATGAAAATTTGTATAAAATTTTGTCAATTTTGAACCGATCGGGCTGAGACTTTGCATGCATAAAGCTACTATGACGTAGGCATCCCCTAATAAAGGATTTTGATAAATTCCACCCCTAAGGGGATAAAATAGGGGATGAATGTTTCTATGAATCTTCTTAGATTTTCGACTGATTGAACTGAAATTAAAGATTGGAGCTACTATGATGAAAACGTTCGCTTAAATAGGATTTTGATAAATTCAACCCCCATGGGGATAAAAGAAGGGATGATACAGGATGTAAATGTATTAGTTTGAACCTATCAGTTCCTAATGGAACGAATAAATTAAGACGAACAAAACAATTTTTAGTCCTTTAGGCTACTTTTATTTTAGAAATATAAAGTTAAATTTCACGCGGACGAAGTCGCGGGAACAGCTAGTAAATCATAAAGGTCTAACTAAACCGTCTGCTGAATAGAGGTCCTGTTTTACAAATAAACAAAATGGCGGGCCTGCAACCAATATATTCCACTCTCCAATCGTAGGCTTAAGTAGAAATAATCTTAATTGACAGGCCAGCATTGTTAATTTAAATTCATAAGCGTAATTGTCTTAGTACACTTCGTAGCCATGTCGGTGGACGCTCGTGTTCTCTTCTTATTAATTTGTACTCAAGTAAGTTTTATATATCAAATATTTTCTATACATCAGTATATTTAATTTTACTTTGTTAGTTGTAGTTAGAACTTAATATGCTATCGTCGTGGTTGATCTCATATTGTATTAATTTACTGATAAAGGCTATAACAGAATAGCAGAGAGGGTGGACTCACTGCCCTCACTGAGTTATAGACCGTTTTGTCTCATTCATTAGTTTTAAATTATATTACTGTATGTGCAACAGTTGTATTGTGTGAAAAGTTTTTGTTTGAGACAAATAAAGATAATATTTTTTTTTTCCAAAAATTCGCATCTCCCCTCTTAAGGAGAGGAGATTATTATTATTATTATTAACATTTCGCTTTTGTATACTATGAATATTGTTTTTTTTTTTGTATTTTTTATGGTGCATTAAAGGTGCAATAAAGAGTTATGAATATATAAATAAATAAAATAACATTATTTCAAAATCAAATTACTCAAGTAAGTTTTAATATTTATCACGTATTTTAATGTTTTTTTTTAAAGATGTTAATGATATAATGCACCCGCCTGCGCTAACGGTTTACGCTGGCGGGGCACCAGTGGAGGATGATAGGATGAGCATGAAGTTAGGCCAGTTAGCCCATCGTGACGAATTCACTAGGAACGAACCACGATGGTTCATTGCTAGCAATGTACCATGTCAGGTCGACCTCCACGCGGTTCCCCCTGGAAACCATCGTGTTAAATTCCTGGTGAATTTGTCATTATGGCATGACCTTTCCATGCTCAACTGATCAACAACCACTGGTGCCCCGCCAGCGTAAACCGTTAGCGGAGGCGGGTGCACCATTCCATTATCAATCCATTAAAAAAAAAACCAACGTGATGGTTTGTTAGTAATGTGGACTCATGGGGTCAGGGACCTCCACGGGCGCGTACCATCAGATAAATTCTAATTTGTCACGATATAAATTTCATCTTATCATTCCACTGGTGCCCCTCCAGCAAACCGTTAGCGCAGGCGAGTGTTTCCATTATCGTACGAAAACCACGATGGTGTCCGAGGGGGGGGGGCGTATATTAACGTGATAAATTATTAGCATTGGGGCTACTGTTCCCATTACTAATAATTCCCGCCGTATTTTAATGTTACTTCAGTATATCCAACGGTGTATCCCGGGGGGTCATGGGGGTCATGACCCCCCTCTGAGCCTAGAACTTAGGTGGACTAATTGAACATAATGATTCTATTTATATATCTTGTCAACTTACAGATTTTATTAATATTTTTAAGTACAAAAATTCACGTACATTAATAAAATAACTACTTTTTATTTGTATCTATTGTTATCAAAATTAAATTATAAGTTCTTGACTTGACAACGACTATGTGACCCCCTCCTGGCGCCAAAGCTGGATCCACCCTTGAGTATATCACATTCGTTTAAAATCAAATCAATATAATTTATTCATGTACACACATTAGAACATATTGCTGTAAATAATATAATTGACGTAGTGGAGTAACCTGAAACAGTCATGCTCGCTATAAAGTTCAAACTTGTGGCGGCGTGGTGGGCCGGGTCGATGTGCTCCCTCAAATATGGTTGAGTGCAATGATGGCTGGCTCATCCGTCATACTCGTTAACGGGTGCTGCTTGTGGGGACTGGTCTGTTCAGGTTGCGAACACTGATTATATTTTTTGTTCTTTGCGATAGCATATACTGGTGGGCACTCTATTCTCCCAAATTTGAATTTTAATGACTGTGTATTATTATAAACATGTTCCACTATTATTTGAAAAAAATACGAGCTGAGTTTCTTGTCAGTTCTTCTCATCTCGATATCATTCCGAAATGACGGTAGATTTGACATATCATAAGAGTCTGTAATAGACCTACATGAATAAAGATATTTTGAATTTGAATTTGAACACATTGTCGATCTGTTATTGTATCTATTTATTTCTTTTAAAGTTTAGGGACGTTTGTACATTCTAAAAGTAGTCCATTCCCATTGTACCCTAAAACGAATTGCTCCATTACCTCACAAGTGAACAAATTGCCTTAGCAACAGTGTCTGAAGTGTTAATCTACAATACTATATATAAAAATGAATTGCTGTTCATTAGACTCGCTAAAACTCGAGAACCGCTGAACCGATTTGGCTAATTTTAGTCTTGAAGTATCCGTGGAAGTCCAGGGAAAGTTTATACGGTGATGAAATATGAAGAATTTGCATGTTATATATATATAAAAATGAATTGCTGTTCATTAGTCTTGCTAAAACTCGAGAACCGCTGAACCGATTTGGATAATTTTAGTCTTGAAGTATCCGTGGAAGTCCAGGGAAAGTTTATACGGTGATGAAATATGAAGAATTTGCATGTTAAAACTATATATATAAAAATGAATTGCTGTTCATTAGACTCGCTAAAACTCGAGAACCGCTGAACCGATTTCCTAATTTTAGTCTTGAAGTATCCGTGGAAGTCCAGAAAGTTTATACGGTGATGAAATATGAAGAATTTGCATGTTAAAACTATATATATAAAAATGAATTGCTGTTCATTAGACTCGCTAAAACTCGAGAACCGCTGAACCGATTTGGCTAATTTTAGTCTTGAAGTATCCGTGGAAGTCCAGGGAAAGTTTATACGGTGATGAAATATGAAGAAATTGCATGTAAAATAGTAAAAACAACAATTATATTTTTCCATACAAACTGCTGATACCTGTCAAACAGGGTGCGTTCAAAAATTTATTGCGTAACTAAACTTCAAAAAAACCTTTGACATATTTAATCTTGAGGCGGAACAGAGTTTGCAGAGTCAGCTTGTTTACTGATAAAGGCTATAACAGAATAGCAGAGAGGGTGGACTCACTGCCCCCTCTGTGTTGTAGACCGTTTTGTCTCATTTATTACATTTAAATTTTATTATTATATAAGCATTGGATGCGAGCAGCGCAGGACCGATCGTCGTGGAGATCTTTGGGGGAGGCCTATATCCAGCAGTGGACGTCTTCCGGGCTGAGATGATGATGATGATGATTATATAAGCAGCAATTATATTAGTTTTTGAGACTAATAAAGATTATTATTATTTTAGCCGCTTATGAACGTAAATTTTATTGAATTAATATTTTTCACTTCCATCCAGTTCAATTGAGAAGGCAAAAAACTTAACCGAATTTTTATTTTTTTAAAAAGTCAGTTTGCTTACATGTAGGTGTCTATGTTTAGTGCATGAACAACTATTGCCATGCACGCTCGTCATTCAAGTAATCGTTTAGTGAGTAATAGACTTTGCTCAATAAATATTTAACATACTAGCTGTACCCGCGACTTCGTCCGCGTAAATAATGAAAAAATATTTAACTCAATTAACACAATATAAGTCAAATAAATAAGTTTCATCATTTTAGCTTAAAAAATGATAAAAAATAAAAATAAATATTTAATCAATAGGCTAAAAAATAAATTTCAAGCTTCTAGCTTTAAACATGACGATACATCTATATGACCTTGGATCTACCCTTTCAATCCTCTTGCAACCCTTTTTCACATTAAAAAGTAACCTGGTGAATTATGTCCTTTCTCAGGATCTAGTCTATCTATGTATGTTTCAAATTTCAATTTAAATCGGTTCAATATTTTTGGCGTGTAAGCGAGACAAACAGACAGACAAAGTTACTTTCACATGTATAATATCAGTAGGGTATTTAATAAACTAACTCTAAAAAGACAAAGAAAAAAGTTTAATCGAACTTCCACAACCACACAAACAGCAAATTTCCACAATAACTTTCATTCCCTATTTTATTTTACTATCCCCCCTCCCCCTAAGAGTAAAAATTTTACAAACATTGAATGTCTAAAAATGAGTCTCAAACTTCTAGTTTTAAAAAATGACGATTCTTCCATACAGCGTACCATTGCAAATACAATCCTTTTTTCACATTCAAAAGTACCCTATATTCTTTGTCCGGGTGTAAACTAACTGTGTACCAAATTTCATTTAAATTTTTATTTTGTTTTGGAGCGTAAGACTGACAGAAAGACAAACAGAGTTACTTTCACAGTTATAACATTAGTGGGGTATTTAAAAATCTACCCCAAAAGAACCAATGAAAATAGTATCATCGTTCTTGTTTCAAAAATTAGGAATTTACATAATAACTATCATCCCCTATTTTATTTTACCCCCTTAAGGGTAATTTTTTTACAAACAATGAATGTCATATTTATTTATATTTAATCCACAGCCTCAAAAATAAGTGCTTCTAGCTTCAAAAATGACGAATTTACATAAAAACTTGCATCCCCTATTTTATTTTACCCCCGTTAAGGGTAATTTTTTTACAAACAATGAATTTCATATGTATTTATATTTAATCAACAGTCTCAACAATAAGTTTAAGCTTCTAGCTTCAAAAATGACGTGTTTACATAAAAACTTGCATCCCCTATTTTATTTTACCCCCTTAAGGGTATTTTTTTAGAAACAATGAATGTCATATGTATTTATATTTAATCAACAGTCTCAACAATAAGTTTCAAGCTTCTAGCTTCAAAAATGTCGAATTTACATAAAAATATGCATCCCCTATTTTATTTTACCCCCTTAAGGGTATTTTTTTAGAAACAATGAATGTCATATGTATTTATATTTAATCAACAGTCTCAACAATAAGTTTCAAGCTTCTATTCAAAAATGTCGAATTTACATAAAAATATGCATCCCCTATTTTATTTTACCCCCGGGTATTTTTTTACAAACAATGAATGTCATATGTATTTATATTTAATCAACAGTCTCAACAATAAGTTTCAAGCTTCTAGCTTCAAAAATGACGTGTTTACATAAAAACTTGCATCCCCTATTTTATTTTACCCCTTAAGGGAATTTTTTACAAACATTGAATGTCATTTTTATTTATATTTAATCAACAGTCTCAACAATAAGTTTCAAGCTTCTAGCTTCAAAAATGACGATTCTTCCATACAATCTTTCACCCCACCTTTAAACCCCTTACAACCCTTTTTTCGCATTAAAAAGTAGCCTATGTCCTTTCTCAGGGTCTAGACTATCTGTGTACCAAATTTCATTTAAATTGGTTCAGTAGTTTTGGCGTGAAAGCGAGACAGACAGACAGAGTTACTTTCACATTTATAATATTAGTTTTTGTCGCAGCACAAAAATATATTTTTATCGTTTCCGTACAAATAATAATTTTACAGTATTAATCTACTATTATTTAATCTATATATACCAACATTTTGGTTCTTACAATCAGCTAAATAATTTAAATAGTTCCATAATATATGGCACAATGAAAAGGTCATTTATTTTATAAAAAAGACAGTTAGTTTTTATTTTAGTGAAAAATAAGAAAATTCTATTTTGATACAACAACCATATATTTATTAATACCTATACTTTATTAATTTTGTGTTAATGCTTTTTAAATAAACACCCACACATTATTTCTGTATAACCTACAAAAATGGGTAAATAATTTAATTTCGGATAGTGCCACACCACAACATTCTTTAAAAAATGTAAATAATAAAATTTGAAGAAAAATGTGATTGTTATTAAGTTTTTTTTTAAGTTGTTCAGAACAGGGAAACAATGTTTGACATTTATTATTATTTAACATTGGACATTGACTTTAATTTTTGTAATTTATATTGTAAAACTTTAAGTTGGGCTAAACTGGGCTTGTATCCAGAGCCGTAAAACAAATTAATAAAAAAAATCGCCAAATTTGTCTCGCAATCGGCCAATTTCAGGTTTAATAGAAAAAACACATACACACGATATATTATTTTATCATAAAAAAGTGTCAAAAAACAATATTTTCACTAAACGTCAACGTCATGTTTCCGGCAAGATCTTTCGTTTTACATTATGTTATCTGTGGTTTTGTTCTCTGTGATGGATACCTTATTGGCGCAAACGCACGCGATGAGTTGATTGGTTGTTAGCTAGTGAAATGAAAAGATCGAATGGCGCAAACGCACGCGATGTGTTGATTGGTTGTTAGCTAGTGAAATGAAAAGATGACGAATAAGGATTCAACCGCATAAAGATAACCTTGTATTTCCATTTTGAACCCCTTACAACCCTTTTTACGCATTAAAAAATATGATTTATGTTCGGCGTCTAAAATGTCTGCGTACTAAATTTCATTTAAATCGGTTCAGTATTTTGGCGTGAAAGCGAGACAGACATAAGATTAGAATATAGACAGACAGAGTTACTTAAAGCATTTATAATATTAGTAAGGATTACATTACTCCATACATACTCACAAACTTTCGCGTTATATATATATGTAGATGGGTTATTATTCGCCACAAAAAACATGAATTTTTTTATTCTCTATTGATGTAAATCACAAAAAAAAAACGATTTACATTGCAAAAATACCTGTTAGTAACACTAACAAATGGTCCTTCAACCCTTGTAACCATTTTTGAGGACACAGTAATGTGTGTGGACCAAAACGAAACGTCATCGAGGTGTACATTTGTGACAGCGCCATCTAGTGACCGGTGGCGGACAACGTGACACGCTGAACTGAATATTTGGTACTTAATATGAAATTGGCAAATTTTTCGTCGGCTTTAAGAATAAGAAAAACATCTAAATCTTTTATATATAAAAAACACCAGTGACCACCGTTATGCTGAGAGAGAAAAAACATATTTTCTATTCGCGTGCGCCGCGAGGTCATGAGAGAGTATCGTTGTTGAACGTCGTTCTGGTCATTCTAGTACTAGAAATGTATGAAAAAATCACGCGCCGGCGCACAAATGCTGAGGTCACCGGTCATCTACAAGATGTTTAACTTGTTGACTTGGGTCTAGATGGCGCTGTGTGAATTTTTATTTATTTTATTTATTCATTTACTTCAGGCAACTAGGCCCATATTATAAATACCTTATAGACTAACATACATATAATATATGTTAGTATTGTCTGTGTGATCATGGCACTGAAGACGGCAATCTACCACGGTAGCGCCGATATACAAAACTGTTTTAATCCAGCAGTTGAAGCAAATGAAGGTGGGTCAGCAAGTCGGTGGAGACCAGGGACAAACGCTTTGAAACTCGCGTTGTGACTCGACTGCTGCGTCATTACTCAATGTCATAATAATGAAGGTATATAATCGAATCATTCCTGTGATGTAATGTAGACGGGACAGGTACATTGTCGTGTATGATAATCGCAGCACGTGTCTGAATTGTCCTGAGATTATTAGAATTATTATTAACCCTATTCGGTAGGGGTTAATAAACGCTTTCATTGTAAAAATGAGATAAAAATATTCGTGTATTTTAATCGTATAATGTAATAAAGAAATTGGAGTAGACAAACAATGATAGTGTAATAACCTTTTTTGATAAGATTGCTTTGTGTGTTGTGTAATATTTAGTCACACGCCTATTTATAGCGACTCGGCCCCTTTATTTCTATTATTATTATTATAATTTTGGTCCAATAGAATAGAATACAAGTTTGTATTCCCTTCATCCGAAATCATCCGTCATACGTTGTGAACGAGTTCTGCTTGTCATTGGTCTAGAAATGTATTCACGCGCCGGCGTGTCAAAGCCAAGTTCAAGTAAGAGAACTGTTGACAGCAACGTGTGTAGATTTTACACGAACCATTTGGAATTGTCCTGAGTTTCATAACTCAAAATCTATTCCTTTGTCGTTGAAAATAACAATCAAGGCATGTATCATAATATTGAACTTGGCTATCATTTGATATTTATGTTTTTGATGCGATCATGATCGTTTAAATAATTAATGTTTTTATATTTGATTAATAAATTAGGAAGTTTGTATTCACAGTTTCGATTGTAAAATGTGAACCAAGGATTATTTAAAAGAAAGATTGCTTTCTTATATGTTGTGTAATAGTTAGAATGAGCGCGTAGATTAAAAAAATAACTTTGCTATGACTGTTCAAATTATCTGCTTAAATTATACCCATAATAGAATAAATGATTTTCTATTCTATTCTATTCTATGCTATTCTAAAGAAATCATTTCGAAGTGATGGTAGATCTGACATATCATAAGAGTCTGTAAAATACCTATACGAATAAAGATATTTTGAATTTAATATTTTTGGACGGCCTCGGTGGTCTAGCGGTTTAGTACACCGTTTTACGATAGTCACGGGTTCAATTCTATCACTATCGGTCTGGGTGTTTTCTATGAATTTAAAAAAATCTATGTAAGTATTTGTATTAGTTGGCTAGTATCCGTAATTCAAGTTCTGCTTAGCTTGGGGCTAGATGGCGCTGTGTTAATTTTTCGATATATATATATATGAATCGAACATACATGCGAGAACATTTTATTATTAAATTTTATATTTAAATATTAAATTTATTACATACATTAATATAATATTTTATGTAAAGTGTATGTATAATTATGAAAATATGTATAATATAATATATATACCCTACAGTGAAAATTTCTATTAAAAACTTCCTCTGTATCAAATCGCAGCGGAGGTGCCTTAGAATAGAATAGAAAATCATTTATTCAAATAAACTTACATTGAAGCACTTTTGAATAGTCATTACATGTTTTTTAATCTACCGCTCGTTCGGAAAGCTGTCTCATCACAAGAAGAACGAGCAAGAAACTTGCGTGTTGCTCTTTTAAATAATTTTATTATTACTTTACATTTTTAAGTTTAAGTGTGTGAATACAAACTACCAATTAGCACTAATTCAATTAAATACTCAAATTGAATTAGTGAATAAGAATTTTAAATCCAAATATATATCCGTATAAAAAAATAAACTGTAAAACCAATATTTGGAAAAAAAATGTATGGTATTATCGTCAACCGCAACTGCTGGATGTGCTGCGCAGAACTACAGAACTACTAGGCAAAGCACCGGTCACAAGAGCACTGCGTGTCCTAAACCACACAGCGTAGCAAATAGACCTATTTTCTTGTCCTCTGAAGTTCACTATTTTTTTTAGTGTATGATAATGGAATGGTGCACCCGCCTGCGCTAACGGTTTACGCTGGCAGGGCACCAGTGGAGGATGACAAGTTGAGCATGAGGTCAGGTCAGTTAGCCCATCGTGATAAATTCACCAGGAATTTGTCACGATGGTTTCCAGGGGGAAACGCGTGGAGGTCGACCTAACATGGTACGTTGTTAACAATGGGAGTTACTAGTTCCCATCGCTAACAATCCTCTACCACCCCTAATCGTGTATTAAGAGTATATATATATAAACCTTCTTGAATCACTCTATCGATTAAAAAGCTGCTTCAAAATCCATTGCGTAGTTTTAAAGATTTAAACCTACATACACTTTGTTTTATACTATGTAATGATGATGATATGCTATAATTAATTTAAAAAAACGTTTGGTGCACTATTGTATTGAGATCTGCAAATTATTGGGAAGTTTCAGAAATGATACGTCGATGCAGCAGTACTTTTATTTTATTCCTTTTTCAAATTACACTCCACATAAATTGCGTCGCTGTACATTCACGTGTGGTCGTCTCGGTCGCCTCGAACAGAGTGAGAGCAGCCCGCCCCCTCCTTGTTCCCGGCCTCTTTATCTCTATTCCTATTGGTGGTGGCATAATCGTGACGCCACCAACATCACGTGACTCACTATGGTTTTAAATTTGAAATGTAAGTAACAAATTAGTCAACTGAGTGTTCTTTATGTATTGAAGCTAACACAATAGTGTAGCAAACATTTTTCAGCTATTAAGCTGTAAGTGTGGAAATAAATAAGGAAATTAAAAAAATATTAGGCTAAGACCTACAAGAATAGCTGTAAGTGTGGAAATAAATAAATTTTCATTGCAGATGGCGACAGCAGTAGACGTGCCAAAATTACTTCTCAACAATAGACGGGAGATACCAGCGATTGCGCTGGGGACTTTCTTGGGATTCGATCAAGTAATGAAATAGAAATAGAAATAATCTTTATTCACATAAACTCATTACAAGCACTTTAGAATAGTCATATTTTTGATTCTACCACCATTTTGATCTACCATGAATTTTCGTGTTAACACGTGGAAGAACACATTGAAAAATCTTATTTCTAATCTTAGTTCCTGTGAACGGCATTTTTTATTATTAATTACGTATATTATTTAAATATGCATATAGTGACAATAACAACAATAATTTGAGGTAGACATTATTTAACCCCTAGATTTGTTTCAATTAAAGTGCCCACGGGTGATCTGATCCCAACGTGTAAATTTTCGTTGCGGAGTGACCCACCGGTGGGTATGCGGTCGTTAACGTGTTAATTACTAGTTTATCCAAAAGACGTTGTGGTATCTGTAACTATGAATATTACTTTGATTTTCAACCACCTTCCAACAAAAATATTTCCGAATTGATAAAACCTTCAAGAGCCAGTAACGTTCTTGGAATTGCTCTGGTGTTGCGGGTGCTCATGGGCGGCGGTAATCACTTACTAACATGAGAGCCGTTTGTCCTCTATGACATATATATATTTTAAATACATACAAATGTGATAATATACATAAAAAACACCCAGAACTATACAAACAATGAACCTGAATACAAAATGTTTGCGCCAACCCGCGATCCTCCCTAAAGCGGTTTTTTTTTAGGACTACTCTAATGCTGTTGGCCGCAGCTGGCCTTTACAGCTTCACCAGTCGATAACAGGCGAGTGCAGATGGTACTCCAAACTAAAAGAAGGACTTATGGAGCGGCTGAAAGCTAACTCCCGCCTGACAGATACGACTTTAGTCTGAGGGCACCGCTAGGGGTTCGAACCTCGTCTTAGGCCGTCGTAATTTCGATCCCCGTTTGAATTAGACTGGGGATCGATCGGAGGGGAGTAAAGCGGTGTGACCGTTACGGTCTAACGGAGGCCGTCTTAAAATGTTAAATGTATATTTACAGAATGGAGTTGTAAAATCCATAGACAAACAGTTGTGCAATGTAGTTCTTAATGCTATCGACCTTGGATATCGCCACTTTGATACCGCCTCTGTATATAACACAGAGGAAGAAATAGGAGAAGCCACGCAGAAGAAGATTGCAGAAGGCGCCGTCACCAGAGATGAACTCTTTCTTACCACTAAGGTAATGTTTAAGAGAAGTGTGTTCACGCAGTAAAATTTCGATGTAGGTGTTCTTCAGTATATGTTCTATCTCGAGATATATCTTCCGACACCTTCATAGTACAAAGCTATGAGGAATATCTCTTGCTTTTTTCCGAACTATTCTAGTGCTGCTCCGAACGATAGGGGGCGAGTGCAGATGGCAGTCCAAACCAAAAGAAGGACTTATGGAGCGGCTGAAAATCAATTTTTGCTTGACGAATATGACTTTAGTCTAAAGGTGTCGCTAGGAGTTTGAACCTCGGCTCAGGCAGTCGTAATTCCGATACACGTTTGAATTGGACGGGAGATCGATCGGAGGGGCAAGAACAATAGTGTTTCTTTAATGATAATGGTGTACGCTGGCGGGGCACCAGTGGAGGATGATAAGATGATAATGAAGTTAGGTTAGTCAACAATAGTGTTTCTTCAATGATAATGGAATGGTGCACCCGCCTCTGCAAACGGGTTACGCTGGCGGGGCACCAGTGGAGGATGATAAGATGAGCAGGATGGAAGGTCAGGATAACGAAAAATAGCAATTTACCAGGTTTCCAGGGGAAACCGCGTGGAGGACTACCTGACATGGTACATTGCTAGCATTGGAGTTATGAGTTCACATTACTAACTATCTCCTTCTCCCCAGAATAAAGTAACAGCATCTCTCTCCAGTCATAATTATTATGATTTATTACAGTTATGGAACACACATCACGAACGATATCAAGTCTTGCAGGCTTTGAAGGAATCCCTGAAGAAACTTGGTACGAACTACGTGGATTTATATTTGATGCACTGGCCGATGGGACTTAATGTAAGTAGTTAAGTTTAGTAAAAACAATGCATCATGACTGGGGCCTCACTGGACACTGCAAATTGAATGAACACACGGCAAACTTAGGCGTGCTTAGGGGCGGATAGTGAAATTGTTGGGCCCTGGACTGAAACTATTTACAGGCCTACCAAATTATATTACTCAACTATGACCAAAAACAAGCAACGGAGAAACGAACGGAAAAAGAACGGTCCCTGTTCCGTTCAACAGACGGGCGTATGTATGGGTTGATTGATCTCACGGCCTACCCTATGGTAGGTTTTTTTATATTTTTTTTAAGTTTAGTAAAAACAGTATATGCATCATGACTAGGGTCCTCACTGGACACTGCAAATTGAATGAACACACGGCAAACTTAGGCGTGCTTAGGGACGGATAGTGAAATTGTTGGGCCCTGGACTAAAACTATTTACGGTCCTACCTAAGGGAGAAACAAACGGAAAAAGAACGGTCCCTGTTCCGTTCAACAGACGAGCACATGTGTGGGTTGATTGATCTCACGGCCTACCCTGTGGTAGGTTTTTTTATATTTTTCTTAAGTTTAGTAAAAACAATATATGCATCATGACTAGGGTACTCACTGGACACTGCAAATTGAATGAACACACGGCAAACTTAGGCGTGCTTAGGGGCGGATAGTGAAATTGTTGGGCCCTGGACTAAAACTATTTACAGGCCTACCAAATTATATTACAAAATACACCGACCAAAAACAAGGAACGGAGAATTTCCTGTTCCGTTCAACAGACGGGCACATGTATGAGTTGATTGATCTAACGGCCTACCCTATGGTAGGTTTTTTTATATTTTTCTTTAATTCTAAATATCGCCTATTATTTTCAGTGGGAGCTGGGGGTCCTTTGTCCTCACGAGTCCCTGGGCTGCAGCCCAAAAAGCTCTTAGGTAGATCCGCCTCTGGGCATGCTCAACAGAAATCTGCAGATTTTGGCAGGCTAAAGAGCAAACGCCGCTACACATCCTATGTGGTTATAACCCACTTATGCAAAAACGAAATATCTCCTTTGGAAAGTATACACGCTATCTTGAGGAGATAAAAACCATCGTTCCTAAGAATATCCTTCAATTCTTGTCCCTGACGGGTCTAGGTAGCGAACTCTGAAAAAGGGCGAGCACAATAGATCTATGTAGGTCGCAGTGCTACAGGTCCATGCACCTGACAATATTACAAAACTCTCGACCTCAATCTTGTCTGTAATTTCACTTTTCCTTATCAGGATGATTATTCATACTCGGATGTTGATTTTATGGAAACGTGGCGAGGTATGGAAGACGCCGTGCGGCTAGGTCTAGCCAAAACTATAGGATTGTCTAACTTCAACAAGGAACAAGTGAAGAGAGTTATCAGTGAAGCTGATATGAAGCCAGCTGTCCTGCAAATTGAGGTGAGTACCAAGGATGTTATGAATATGAAATTTCGGATACGGATTTTACGTAGAAAATACCCAGACAAACAATCATAGTTAAGAATACAAATGTTTGTGCACTAAGCTTTAGGTAGCTTAACTTGGGTCTGGATCAGGGATGTTATGGTTATGAAATATCGGATACGGATAGGTTTCGGATATAGGAATGATTATTATACCAGATACGGATACGGATGCGGATATGAAATTATTTTGGATTATCCATTATTTTCGGTTACGGATATTAATTTTTTAAGGTATTTCAAAAGTAAAATACAAATAGCTAATAAAATGGTTACACAACGTGTCTCAATTAGGCTCCGATCCTATTCGATATTATCCGAAACTTTTATTTCGGATTCGGTTACGGTTATGGATATTTTCTCAGATCGGATATCCGATGGTTTCGGTTATGGAGCTCCCTAACATCCCTGATATACACAAACAAACATATAAAAACAAATGTTTGTATCGTAGGAGGAATCGAATCCGCGACCACAAACTGTAACGCCTTAAAAGTCGACAGACACAAAATATACGAACTTGTTACACAACGTGTCTCAATTAGGCTCCGCTCCTATCCGATATTATTAGAAACTTTTATTTCTGATTCGGTTACGGTTACGGATATTTTTTATATCGGATATCCGATAGTATCGGTTATGGTTACGGAGCTACTTAACATCCCTGGTGAGTACATACAGGGGCGACGGAAACAGTCATGCGACGCATGCGGAGCATGTGGTCGCCTCGTCGAAGGGGGCGCCGTCACGAGATACGAATATATAATACAATTTTATTAAAATATAGAATCAATAGAATCTATACATATAAATAAAATTGGAGTGTCTGTTTGTAATATTGAAATAACCGTTTTTTTACTACATGCATATGAATATGAATACGGTACATACATCAAAATAACATTTTTTACAATTTTTGTCTGTCTGTCTGTCTGTTTCGGCTAATCTCTGAAATGGTTGGACCGATTTTGACGATACTTTTTTTATACGGTGTTTCTGGCCATTTCAGAGATTAGCCGGAACAGACAGACAGACAGACAAAAATTGTAAAAAATGTTATTTTGGTGTATGTACCGTATTTATATTCATATGCATGTAGTAAAATCGGTTATTTCAATATTACAAACAGACACCCCAATTTTATATGTATAGATGTATAACAAAAATAAATAATTTAATTTTTTACAGATCAACCCCCAAATTATCCAGACCGACTTAGTTTCGTACGCCCAAGCTGAAGGTCTGGTTGTCATGGGGTACAGCCCGTTTGGTTCCCTGGTGAAGCGCTTCGGGATGGACCTGCCTGGTCCAAAGATGGACGATCCCGTTTTAGTGGAGATTGCTCAGAAATACGGAAAGACAACCCCGCAGGTCGTCCTGAGATGGATGGTGAGTTTGACCATAGAGATAATTGTTTTTTTTTTATACAACTCTTATAAATCTATACTGTTCATTGTATACTGGTATACAGGGAGCCCAATCCCTAAACCGATCACAGTTTTAACCCATATCTAGAGATTATTATTATTATTTGCAATGATGCCTGGCTTCAAAGACTTGCTGACAGGAGACGGAAGCGCCACCTAGGCAGCTCAGGACAGACTACTGCCGATAGTTTCCCTTGTCGGCCCTGTGATAGGCCATGCCGTTCTCGTATCGGTTTATACAGCCACGAAAAAACCTGTTCAAGGGCCAATACGACATTAATTGTCTAATAGACGCATAGGTCATTATTATATTATATTATTAATATTTCTATATATGTTTTGTATATCTCCCTTTATGGGGATGATACGTTAGGGGGCCTTTGCGAAGCGGATGAGTTTAAAAGTTTATTATTATTAGAATAGAATATAGAATAGAAAATTTATTCAAATAAACTTACATTGAAGCACTTTTGAATAGTCATTGCATTTTTTAATCTACCGCTCGTTCGGAAAGCTGTCTCATCACAAGAAGAACGAGCAAGAAACTTGCGTGTTGCTCTTTTAAATAATAATTATTATTTCTATATATGTTTAGTATATCTCCCTTTATGGGGATGATACGTTAGGGGGCCTTTGCGAAGCGTGGATGAGTTTAAAAGTTTATTATTATTATTATTACTATATTTCCAGGTTGACAAAAAAATAATACCAATACCAAAGACAATAAACATCAAGAGATTGAAGGAGAACATAGAAGTCTTTGATTTCAAGCTGCAAGAGAATGAGATTCAGCAGATAAATGGGTTCGACCGTAGAGTCCGTTTCACATTACCTTCGTTCTGGCAAAATCACCCTTATTACCCATTTGAGAAGATCGAAAATCCTATACCAGATCCTTTTGCAAAGAAATCTTAGTTCGTTAGAAGTTGATATAAGTAAATTTATAAATCACTATAAAAATACAATGTGTTTATCATTTACCTTTAAATCGATTAATATTGATATGATATAATGATATGATAATTAGAGCCAATTTTTTACGACTTTACTCACCACTAATGCTGTTGGATCCCCGTTGACATCGCTTCACCGGACGATATGAGGTGTGTGAGGTCGAGAACAGATGGCACTCCAAACCAAACCAAACTTATGGAGCGGCTGATGGTAAACGGCATTGCATCCCGACAGACGGAAAAAGGCGACTTTACATACTCTTGTATACTGAAGGGCACCACTATTATTAGGGATGTTCGAACCTCGGCTTTTTTTTCACGCTGTTGTTGGCCGTCGTAAAATCGATCCCCGTTGAATTGGACGGGGGATCGATCGGAGGACGGAGATTGATCGTAGAGGCGACCGGGGACACCGGTGTGGAGCGCCCGGGCGTACGTAGGCGCACGGATGATTGTCTGTACGGAGAGAGATGATAATTGGCAAACGCTTTTGATGTCGAAAATCGATTTGCCTTCAGCAGAGAGGTCGAGAATTAGTACAAGGTCTATAAGTGTCTTGTTGCGTGAGCGCGACTGGTACATGCGATGTACCAGTGCGCAGGGTAGTTTTGGGACTGAAGGTTCTCAAGTATGGAGTCTGTACACAGCTCCTTAGGTAAGCCACGTATTACAGTGGAGTTTTTCTCTTCCTCGAGAGCATAGGTGTGGTAGCCTATGTTTTTTATATAATTTCCCAACACGTCGATGTAATGTGTGTGGATTAAAACGAAACGTCATCGAGGTGTACATTTGTAGCAGCGCCATCTAGTGATCGGTGCGTTCATCATACGATGAAAATCTGTACATCTATACGTATAAATAAAATTGGAGTGTCTATTTGTAATATTGAAATAACCGTTTTTTACTACATGCATATGAATATAAATACGGTACATACACCTAAATAACATGTTTTACAATTTTTGTCTGTCTGTCTGTTTGTTCCGGCTAATCTCTGAAATGGCTGAACCGATTTTCCCGGGACTTTTTTTGGCAGGTAGCTGATGTAATAAGGAGTAATTTAGGCAATTTTTATTTTAGAAAAATAAAGTTATATTCCACGCGGACAAAGTTGCGAGTACAACAAGAAATTAATAAATTCCAAATATTATCCCAATTTTTAAATTAAAAATTAATTTTCATTGTAAATATATACACAAGTTATAAGTTATCATAAACATGTTCAAATGATGAAAACAATAAGAGCTGAGTTTCTTGTCAGCTCGAAAGCACTTCGCACTGACGGTAGATTTGACATAAACTTCAATCATAGACCTACAGGACAATATTGTTATTTTCGAGGATTGAGTTGTTATGCCTCTGTCACTTATAATTTAAATCCCATTTCATCATTCAAATGCCCTCAGGCATTAGGATCATCCAAAACGTCAAACCATGACTAAAGGAGGGACATCAGATTGTTAGACATTTCAGTTAAATGAAAATAAAACTATGAATTGTGTATTAGCCTGGTTTAAAATGAGACACGTTCCTAGCTCAGGCAAAATGTTCATTCAGCTACTACAGAAAACGTAATAAATATTATGGCAATAGAAAAACAATCGATATAAAAAAAGGAACTTAACGTCAACATAGAAAATATATTAAAACAAAACTAACAAAAAACTAAAAAAAGTTAAATAATGTTAACAAACGAGAGATGTATTTATTTTCTGAATGATAGCACAGATAATAATGTTACTGATCTCTATTATTCTTGTTTAACGCCATCTGTGAACAAGTAGACAAATTAAATATTTGTGGTCATTCAATTCTAGCTTCAACAGTTTCACATATTAAATGACAGATGCTAGATTTCTTTCTTTTGTTTCGTTCAGAAATATAATATTCTGAACAAAAATTGTTATTGTAATTTAATGTTTATAATATAATACTTGTTTTCTAGATAATAAATTATGTTGTAAATTTATATCAGTAATATTTGTCATGTACTTCAAAAATTTATGATAACAGAACGCACCGTAAGCAGAAAAAAAAACAATTGGACGTAGTAAAAATAATATACAGACATCTCTTGTCGATCTGCCAGTGAAAAATCAAATAAGTCGTCCATATTTCTATTGCGCTGTATCTTGGTAATAGTAGAATTTTTGAGACGTGTGTACAAGTGAAATTTTACATTGTGGCCAAGGTGACGCCGTACCCGAGTATGACATATTCCGGAAGGAATAAATTCGATGTAAGTGCGATCGATCAGTTTGTCAAATGTTTGTTTTCGTTTTGATTGGGAACAGCTGACATGCTCGCTTATAGGGCGCAGGGCTCGTTCCTTTGTTCTCAATGCACTCAGAAAGTTACATTTATACATATAAAACATAATATTTGCACAAAATTTCAATGCATTCCAAACGCATTCGTGATAACACTAGAAGTGTAAACAATGTAATTCTATTTTTAAATGTGGAAAAAAAAGTTTTATTCGGTTTTGGATACAAAACGTTTTTGAAACTTATATGGATGATATTTGTTTGTTAAATTGTTTATTGTTATCATTATTCATGCATTGACTTGCAGTTTTCTTTGTTGGGTCAGTTTATTGACCCCAAGCGGCCAGTCAACTCACACATACATGTCCCGTTACATAGGTATTATGTATGTACTTTTGATGGCCTTGGATGACTAAAACATTAGGGAAATGAGTATTTGCACAGGTGCCAAGTGGATGAATACAATTATATCATAACAAGACATAAAAAAAATCAGTGTGACATCAACCCACTTAATACTTTTGTAAAAATGCTTTTAGTGACAAGTATCCATTTCATAAAATTAAAAAGTACTTAACTTTATGTATAAAAAAAAAACAATTTTTTTTATTGTAAAAAGAAAACTAGTTACAATTATTTAATTAATTTAAATAATGTGACTCTCTAAATATCTTTCTTAATTATTTCTTTTAAATAAATTTTATTTGCTCCTCATAAACAGACATTTTTTAATGATTCATAATGAAATAGTGCAGCCACTCATGCTAACACAAACACACTCTGTTGAAGCAGTGGAGGTTAATAATAATAATGCAAACACTAAATATTCATCCTAGTATGTCCATCCATCCACATCCACCCAATATGTCTAACAAACAGCCACAATACTGAAAATATGTCCCATATCTAAAAAATCTATAATATATTCACACAGCGCAACCTCTCCCACACTTGGCTAAGTCCCGTGTGGGTGAGTATTACCTTCTTTTAATGAAAGAGGAGAAAAGAATACAAGATGAGTTTCTTGTCAGTTCTTCTCATCTCGAAATCATTCCGAACTGATGGTAGATTTGGCATATCATAAGTCTGTAATAGACCTACATGAATAAAGATATTTTGAATATGAATTTGAATTAAGGAAAAGATAAAAATAATAAGAAAAAGTTAAAATCATACTACCTTTCTACTGCTATATGATTAGTGTCATCATTGTATATATATCTTTATAGTATTTATTGTTTGATTTAGCATATATTTATGTTGTTTATCATATATTTATTATAAATGTAATTTTTTTTAGGTATTCAAGTACATACATGTACATATATGTATATTGTATTAGTATGTGTATTTTGGACATTATATTTTCATGTTTAGTTTTAATTATTTATGACATTTTTATTAAATTATTATTTGCACATTTTGACCCCCTCAACACTTCCTATGCCACACTCTATTGGGTTGACTGGAAGAGATCTCTTTTAGTGATAAGTCCTCCTTTGTTAACATTAGTTATGATTAATATACTTACGTATTTAAGTGCAATAAAGAATATTTATAAATCTGAGAAAATGTGACAATAATAATAGTGTTTTTTTCCCTAAGTGTGTTTATAAAATAAATTTCCCTAAGTGTGGTTTATAAAATAGGTGGTTTATAAAATAAAATTCATAGGCATGTAGTAAAAAACGGTTATTTCAATATTACAAACAGACACTACAATTTTATTTATATGTATAAATGTATAGATAACTGCATATATGTGGATGGTTTTAGAGATGGATGGATTATGTGGAAGATGATATGATAAAGGGAGAATAACGCGATGACTGCGAACAGGGATGAATGGAAGAGAAGAACATATTACGACGACCACAAATATATGGGATAAGGAAGAAGCAGATGATATCGTAACTGTGTAATATGTACGACGCGGTAATTGTATGATATGATAAAGGGAGAATAACGAGATGACTGCGAACAGAGATGAATGGAAGAGAAAACATTACGACGACCACAAATAAATGGGATAAGGAAGAAGCAGATGATATCGTAACTGCGTAATATGTACGAAGCGGTAATTGTATGATATGATAAAGGGAGAATAACGAGATGACTGCGGACAGAGATGAATGGAAGAGAAAAACATATTACGACGACCACAAATAAATGGGATAAGGAAGAAGCAGATGATATCGTAACTGCGCAATATGTACGACGCGGTAATTGTAGTGAGGACAGACAGAACGTAATGATATTCATATGTATCTTATCAATTAACATTTGTACAACGATAACCTTTATTGTCCTATGTTATGACTGATTTTTATTATTATTATATTAATTTTTTTATTTATTTATAGCTGTCCCCGCAAACATTGTTTTGCCATATAAATTAATAACGCTATAAAAAAAATAGGGGTTGATGATAGAAGGGTGAAAATTTAGGATTGTATTTATTTTTGTATGTTGTATCATAAAAAACTAGAAACTAAAAATTTTGTCTAACAAAAACAAAATTTAGGTGTGGACTACCCCTAACATTTAGGGGGATGAAAAATAGATGTTGGCCGATTCTCAGACCTACTCAATACGCTCACAAAATTTCATGAGAATCGGTCAAGCCGTTTCGGAGGAGTATGGGAACGAAAACTGTGACACGAGAATTTTATATATAAGATTAAACTTTAATGCATAGATACACAAATAATGGCGCACATGTCGGACTTAACATCTAGAGGCATTTTCTCCCAGTCAACCATACGGCAAACAGAGATAGATGTGGGCGGTGATTTCATCATCTGCTTCTTCCTTATCCCATTTATTTGTGGTCGTCGTAATATGTTTTATCTTCCAACACAACACAAATCGCATACATTTACAATAAGACACAAATCTTTCACACAGTCCATCCATCTCTTTTTCGGCCTTTCTCTGCCCTTATAATAATAATAATAATAATCCTCTACCGGTATTGTACCCAAAACACTTCAAAATAGTCTGCAAACATTAAACATTCATCCATCCAAAACATATCTCCTAAAAAAAATATTAAATACCTTTTTTAACATAAATTCTTATCCTCCTCAACAATATCTTCAACACAAAAAAAAATATATTAAATAAGGCCCGTGTAGGTGATACACTTTTAAATATAAATATATATAAAATGTAAAAAAATAATAATAATAATAATCATCTCAGAAATTCACACAATAAAAGATCAAAAAAAAAAAAGCTTACAAGATAAAAAACTGATACCAATACATAGATATATTTTTTTTCGTCGTAAATACATACATATTATACATAGAAAATACCCAGACCGATACAAAGAATCATACTCGTGAATACAAATGTTTGTGCCATATCATCTTTCACACAGTCCATCCATCTCGTTTTAGACTAGACCTTCCACTGCTCTTATAACCATCCACATTCATATGTAACACCTTTCTTAAAATATTATCCTCGTTCCTACACATTACATGTCCATACCATGATAGACGATTACTCTTCAACCTCTCTGACACCGGTTCCACCGGGCGGTGCATTATGATTAACATATAATACATAATACTTATATAACTTAACAATATTTATATTACAATAATCGTTTTATACTACATGCATATGAATATAAATACGGTACATATACCAAAATAACATTTTTACAATTTTTTCTGTCTGTCTGTTTGTTCCGGCTAATCTCTGAAATGGCTGGACCGATTTTGACGGGACTTTTATTGGCAAGTAGCTGATGTAATAAGGAGTAACTTAGGCTACTTTTATTTTAGAAAAATAAAGTTTAATTCCACGCGGACGCGTGTACAGATGGTACATAATAAGGTTAATACTGTTGGCCGCAGCTGGCCTTTACAGCTTCTCCCAACAGGGAAGATTGTAGAAAATCGGGATTGTAGAAAAAAAAACTCGTCGGGATTGTAGAAAAAAAAAACACGTCGGGATTGTTGAAAAAAAAAAACTCAGTCTAGTACCCATAACCCACACACGCAGGGGGAAGGGAATTATTAGTAATGTGGACTAATGATCCCATTGCTAGCAATGTACCATGTCAGGTCGACCTCCACGCGGTTCCCCCTGGAAACCATCGTGATAAATATCTGGTGAATTTGTCACGTTGGGCTAACTGACCTGACCTCATGTTCATCTTATCATCCTCCACTGGTGCCCCGCCAGCGTAAACCGTTAGCGCAGGCGGGTGCACCATTCCATTATCATCCTTTAAAAAAAAAACCCACACACGCTACATCCAAGGTCTTGCCATCATTTACCATCAGATGAGGTAAGACCAAGCGCAAACCCATTATTACTAAAAAAACAAACATAAGCTCTGCTTTTTTTTTTTATGGATGATAATGGAATGGTGCACCCGCCTGCGCTAACGGTTTACGCTGGCGGGGCACCAGTGGAGGATGATAAGATGAGCATGAGGTCAGGTCCGTTAGCCCATCGTGACAAATTCACCAAGAATTTATCACGATGGTTTCCAGGGGGAAACGCGTGGAGGTCAACCTGACATGGTGCATTGCTAGCAATAAGATCATAAGTCTACATTACTACCAATCCCCTTTCCCCCCCATAAGCTCTGCTTAGCTTAGGACTAGAGGACGCTGTGTGATTATTAACGGTTATTAACAATGTATATTTGTTCGCAGATCGCTCGGTTTTCGGGCGAAGATGACAACCACATTAACAAAAAGCTACCCAAGGAGTTACTACTACGAATATTATCATATTTAGATGTGGTTTCCCTCTGTCGTTGTGCTCAGGTAAGTCCAAATCCGTCTCACGCAGGTAGACTTTGAGGATAAGCCAGGAATTGGACGAGAAGACCAATTTCTTCCCGGTCCCAAACTTCCAACTTGCCTACTTAATGGAGTTATCTCATACTAGCTGTTCCCGCGACTTCGTCCGTGTGGAATTTAACTTTATTTTACTAAAATAAATGTAGTCTAAAGAACTAAAAATATTGTTCGTCTTAATTTATTCGTTCCATTAGGTACTGATAGGTTCAAACTAATACATTTACATTGTATCATCCCTTATTTTATCCCCATGAGGGTTAAATTTATAAAAATCCTATTTAAGTGAACGTCTTCATCATAGTAGCCCCAATCTTTAATTTCAGTTCAATCAGTCGAAAATATAAGAAGATTTATACAAACTTTCACCCCCTATTTAATCCCCTTAGGGGTGGAATTTATCAAAATCCTTTCTTAGGGGATGCCTACATCATAGTAGATTTATGCATGCAAAGTCTCAGCCCGATCGGTTTCAAATTGACAAAGTTGCTGCATACAAACTTTTACAAAGTGGTTTGGGCTGTGCGTTGATAATCAAACACATTAATCATTACGATAAATTTAAAATTGATTTTGACATAGAATCATTGACGTAATAAAATGGATTATTTTCAAAAAATTTGTTCAAAAATTTTATAAATTTTAATATTAGTAAATCGGTAAATCGGATATTTGTTTAGAATAGAATAGAATAGAAAATCATTTATTCAAATAAACTTAATTTAATCACTTTTGAATAGTCATAGTTATCATTCTTTTAATAGAAAATCATTTATTCAAATAAACTTAATTTAATCACTTTTGAATAGTCATAGTTATCATTCTTTTAATCTACCGCTCATTTGATTAATTAGAAATAATATTTATTCAAATAAACTTAATTTAATCACTTTTGAATAGTCATAGTTATAATTCTTTTAATCTACCGCTCATTTGATTAATTAGAAATAATATTTATTCAAATAAACTTAATTTAATCACTTTTGAATAGTCATAGTTATAATTCTTATAATCTACCGCTCATTCGGAAAGCTCATCACAAGAAGAACGAGCGAGAAACTTGCGTGTTGCTCTTTTAAACAATCATTGTAATTTTACATTTACAATTCGAAACGTGCGAATACAAACTTTTGGCAATCTGTTATACATTATTATCTTCAATTACAGCCCCTGCTTTTGTTATTTTTCTGATCTACATGTATTTATTACATGAATAAATAATAAATTTCTTTCTTTCAAATGATTTTTGAATTTGAATTCGTTATTTTAATTTCAGGTGTCGAAATTATGGAATTTACTGGCTTTAGATGGATCAAATTGGCAAAGGATTGACCTATTCGAATTCCAGACAGATGTGGAAGTAAGTTAACAATATATGTATATTTTTTTTATGGATGATGATATGATATAATGAATACCCGAATGGTACCCGCCTGCGCTAACGGTTTACGCTGGCGGGGCACCAGTGGAGGATAAGATGAACATGAGGTCAGGTCAGTTAGCCCATCGTGACAAATTCACCAGGAATTTATCACGATGGTTTCCAGGGGGAACCGCGTGGAGGTCAACCTGACATGGTACGTTGCTAGTAATGGCTTAAAGTCCACATTACTAACAAGAGTCAGAAGAGTCACGAGTGAAAAAAAAATCACTCGAGTCCCATCACTAATTTATTATTATACTAGCTGTTCTCGCGACTTCGTCCGCGTGGAAAATAACTTTATTTTTCTAAAATGAAAGTACTAAGTTACTCCTTATTACATCAGCTATCTGCCAAAAAAAGTCCCGCTGTTTAAGAGATTAGCCGGAACAAACAGACCGACAGACAAAAATTGTAAAGAATGTTATTTTGGTACATGTATCGTATCTATATTTATATGCATGTAGTAAAAAACTATTATTTCAATATTACAAACAGACACTCTAATTTTATTTATGTGTATAGATATACATAATTACTATTCGATTGATGTAAATCATAAAAAAAAACGATTTACATTGCAAAAATTTATGCTATTAGAAGCAATTTTTGGTCCTTCGAACGTATCGTAATCGTTGTGGAACACAGTAATGTGTGTGGACCAAAACGAAACGTCATCGAGGTGTACATTTGTGACAGCGCCATCTAGTGGCCGGCGGCGGACAACGTGACACGCTGAACATAATATTAGGTCCTTACATATGAAATTGGCGTTATGATGTGACACGTTGAATATGAGAACAATAATATGCCCCCTCCGATAGATCCCCCGTCCAATTCAAACGGGGATCGATATTACGACGGCCTGTGAGTCGAGGTTCGAACCCCTAGCGGTGCCCTCAGACTAAAGTCGTATCCGTCAGGCGGGAGTTGGCCTTCAGCCGCTCCATAAGTCCTTCCTTTGGTTTGGAGTGCCATCTGCACTCGCCCCTAACGTCCGGTGAATCTGTAAAGGCCAGCTGCGGACAACAGCATTAGAGTAATCCGGAAAAAAAATATGTGTGGACCAAAACGAAACGTCATCGAGGTGTACATTTGTAGCACCGCCATCTAGTGGCCGGCGGCGGACAACGTGAACATAATATTTACACGTTTTACTTTATTTGACGGCCTCAGTGGTCTAGCGGTTTAGCATACCGCCTTCCTATGGTCGCGGGTTCGATTCCTCGCACGGCACAAATATTTGTATTCATGAGTATGATTGTTTGTGTTCGTTATCGGTCTGGATGTTTTCTATGTATAATATGTATGTATTTACAAAGTATTTATATCAGTTGTCTAGTACTTATAACACAAGCTCTGCTTACTGTGGGACTAGTTGGCGCTGTGTCAATTGTCCAGGGTTATTTATTACTTATTATTATTAAATAACATTTGGGTAACGAATAATTCTATAATATTTATTGTTATTTGTTTCCAGGGTCCAGTTATAGAAAACATATCGCACAGATGCGGTGGTTTCCTGAGACAGCTCTCATTGAGAGGCTGCGAGAGTATCGGAGATGGATCTATGAAGACATTAGCACAAGTAAGAAACATTCAAATCGAAAATCACATAAAAAAAATACCGACTGACCGACTAAAATTTTAAACTTTTTACAATTAGACTTTATAATTCATTCATTCATTCATTCATTCATTCAGCATAGGTTCAGCATTTGAAAAATATTTTTATAGTATTAAGGATAGGTCAGTATAGGTACATTATAGGATTTTTTTGACATTTAAAATAATTATATTTGTTAATATACCTACAAACAATTTAATTTAACTATTAGAATATTAGTACATTTTAATTCAATTATTAAACATAATCTATATATATATATAAATGAATTTCTGTTCGTTAGTCTCGCTAAAACTCGACAACGACTGAACCGATTTGACTAATTTTAGTCTTGAAATATTCGTGGAAGTCCTGGGACGGTTTAAACGGTGATGATGAAGAAATTGCATGTAAAATAGTAAAAACAATTATATTTTCCCATACAAACTTTCTGATACCTGTCAAACAGGGTGCGTTCAAAAATTTATTGCGTAACTAAACTTCAAAAAACCTTTGACATATTGAATCTTGAGGTGGAACAGAGTTCGCACAGTCAGTAATGTATAGAAATTTTGGATGCCTGTGTACATTGGACCGTAATTTTAATTATAATTATAATCTTAATAATTAATTATTTCTATAATTTTTAATTATCATAATATATTTTTATAAATTTATAATTATAAGATTATTAAGACGTACTCGTAACACTATTCTGCAAATAAATAAATGTTTATATTCATGTAGAACAGAGGAACTTTATTGTGTCGTCACTTATTTATTTATTTAAATTTATTTATTCAGATAACAGAGATCCAATTTGTTAGTAACAATTGTACTTAGCCTATGTTAGTATATCTAAAGTTACATATTATCATTTAAGGGCCACCGTAACAATTTATCTTGCCATATTTTTCGGTTTTGGGTAGACCCCTCATTCTTACCAAGTATTAATTGTTTGTAAATTTCTAACTGTAGTAAAGTTTAGTGTTAAAAACATAAAGTAAAAACAAGATGGCCGCTGTCGTAGATCCCTTGCAGTTTGTCATTGTGAAGGATGGAGACCAAGACGACGAGCAAAAGTAAAACAGCACCATTGTAATTGTACAATATTTGTGTATTAAATTGACTTATGTCATATAAAAACAATATAATATTATAAAAAAACATAATTTATTTATTTATTAGCATACAAAACAGATTACAGTCAATATAATAATATAACTAGGAGCGTGTAGTTCGGTACAAAACTGGATTGTAATCCAACACTATGTATGCCTAAGAGCTAAATTATATAGACGCATTCAATATACGCTAGATAGCTAGATAAGGTTATATAATAAAAAGTAAACTAAATATAAAATGATATATACTATAACTACGTAATGCAATGAATTATCATGTTAACAGAATTTTATTTATATTAAAGAAAAGAAAATTGGTACAATGTTAAATATAATTTGTCTCTTTACGGTGGAAATTTAATTGTCTCCGGAACTGGACCAGCGTTGAATGGAAAATATCTATATTTCTATTGGAGACAAGAATTTCATTGTATTGGCGACACATTCGAACTATTGGATTATAATATGAAGTATTATTTGAGTAAACCTGAAGATAGAAGGTGTTATAATTACGGTTGCGTGATCTAAATCTCGTATTAAAGTTTAATAGTATTAGTTTTTAAATATTATATTATATGTATGTTAGTCTATAAGGTATTTATAATATGGGACTAGTTGCCTGAAATAAATGAATAAATAATAGAGAAAGAAGAGTGGACGAGTCCAACTGATGATGAATAATTTTATGTAACAAGGTTAGGTCATTATTTTGTCGTCTTATATATAAAGGGTCCAGATTAAAGTATTTCAGACGTTCACTGTAAGATGCAAGTTTACGACCTAAGCATCTATAGCTAAGTATCTTTAAATAACGTCTTTGAACACTTTCAATTAGGTTGCTATGTAGTCTATAGAATAATAAAATAGGTATAAAAATAGTTTGCAACGACGTCCCACTCGTGTAGCACTTTACTACACAATTGTTTCTTCGTTCAGTTTGCGCACGGGTCTCCTCAGTGGCCACATATGCTACTCGCACAACTCCATCTTTGCCTGGGAAGACCCTGGTTACTCCTCCCATAGGCCATACTCCTCGTGGTAAATCAGGATCGACTAGTAAGACGATGTCAACTTTAAAATTCTTGAACACGACTCCTTGCTGTTTTCTAGGTTTTAGAGTCGGTAAATACTCTCTAAGCCAACGGTTCCAGAAGTGTTCGGATAGGCAAAGTGATTTTTGCCACTCCTTCCTTAATGAAAATACTCCATCATCTAGCCTCAATAGACCCCTGGAAGTCGATATACCACTTTGGGAATTACTTTCTTGGGTACACCCACCCAAGAAAGTGATTCCCAAAGTGGTATATCGACTCCCAGGGGTCTAGGACAAACTGCATGGGGTCTACGACAGTGGTGAGAGTAAGTCTGAGTGAGTGTGAGTGTGAGTGTTAGAATAGAAGAATAGAATAGAAAATCATTTATTCAAATAAACTTACATTGAAGCACTTTTGAATAGTCATTACATTTTATAATCTACCGCTATATAGGCTGTGTTCAATAAATATTTGGACAATGTTTCTAGTAAATTTAATTATTTTAATTGTATAACCTTTGTTAACCTATCTTCTGTTCTGTTCTTTCAGTCGTGTCCAAACATAGAAGATTTAAACTTGAATAAATGTAAGAAAATCACAGACCAAACCTGTCAAGCTTTAGGAAGGAAATGTAATAAACTGCAAAGGTATGTTTTTGTATATATATGACAATAGTCTCGGTGGCTTAGCGGTTAGCACACTGCTTTACTTTCTATAGTCACGGGTTCGATTCCTCGCAAGGAGCAAACATTTGTATTCATGAGTATAATTGTTTGTGTCAGTCTAGGTGCTTTCTATGTATGTATTAAAAAAACTATTTGTATCAGTTGTCTAGTACCCATAACACAAGCATTGCTTTGCTTGGGACTATATGCTTGAATATATTTAACATATTTTTGTTAAATACATAGAAAATATCCTAACTACCTAATACACACTAGTGTGTGATACCTGATAATATAAATATTATTAAATAATAAAATCATACTCAGGAATGTTTGTGCCCTGCGAGGAATTAAACCCGCGACCATCGGCAGTAAAAGCAGTACGATAAACCTCTAGCTACACCATCGAGGTCTTCTGTAATAATATTATAGTAAACTAGCTTTTACCCGCGGCTTCGCTCGCGTTAATTTATCCCCTTAGGAGTGGAATTTATCAAAATCCTTTCTTAGGGGATGCCTACGTCATAGTAGCTTTATGCATGCAAAGTCTCAGCCCGGTCGGTTTAAAATTGACAAAGTTTCATACAAACTTTCATCCCCTATTTTATCCCCTTGGGGGTAGAATTAATCAAAATCCTTTCATAGCGGATGCCTAAGTCATAACATCTACCTGCATGCCAAATTTCAGCCCGATCCGTCCAGTGGTTTGGGCTGTGCGTTGATAGATCACCAATATCAGTCACCTGAGTTATATGTCACACTATACTAGTCCCAAGATAAGCAGAGTACAGAACTGAACCCATTATTACAAACTAATAGAAATAGAAATAATCTTTATTCAAATTGATTATATTTTTTATTCTACCGCTCATTCGGAACGCAGATTCATCACAAGAAGAATGAGCAAGAAACTTGTGTGTTGCTCTTTTGATTAGATGTTTTTTTATATAAACGATTACAAGATATGGTAACAATTTTTAAAATTAAACACAATTAAATAATTACCAATTGAGAGGGATATATTTATATAACATCATCACAAGAAGAAGGAGCGAGAAACTTGCGTGTTGCTCTTTTAAATAATTGTTGTTTTAAGTAAATTTATATTACAAAGGATTAGGGTGTATCATTATTTCTGGTTGGTAATTATTAATGAAATAATTACCAACTGAGTGTACTATTTATATAAAACTAGGCCCCGGCTTCGCACGGGTCTACATGTATTATATATGTAAATCTTCCTCTTGAATCACTCTATCTATTAGAAAAATCCGTTACGTTCTTTTAAAGATTTAAGCATACATATGGACGGACAGACAGCGACAGCGACTTTGTTTTATACTATGTAATGATGTAAAATTGCGTTATTTTTTCAGAATAAATCTAGACTCGTGTCCAAGCATAACGGATATATCGTTGAAGGCACTCTCAGACGGATGTCCGGTGAGTTTTATTAAATACTAGATGCACCTCAGACTTCGTCCGCATGGAATTTAACATTATTTTTCTAAAATACAAGTAACCTAAGTTACTCCTTATTACATTAACTACCTGCCAAAAAAAGTCCCGTCAAAATCGGTCCAGCCATTTCAGAGATTAGCCGGAACAAACAGACAGACAAAAATTGTAAAAAGTGGTTTTTTGGTGTATGTACCATATTTATATTCATATGCATGTAGTAAAAAACGGTTATTTCAATATTACAAACAGACACTCCAATTTTATTTATATGTATAGATGTATAGATAAAGGTATTTGTCTATCTCGACGTTTGAACTAGGTTGCACTAGCCGTGGTAAATAAGTAAATACCTTTATTTTCCATAAAATTATTGTTATGACCCGGTCAATAATATAAATAAAGCGTATAATGACAGTTACATCATTGTTCATATACCACTCCTTGTTAGACATACACGAAAAGAGCAATACACTGCGTAAAAAATTACTTGACACGAAATGGACATAAATTACAATTACCAAGATTACGACTTGCAAAAACAATAAAACAAGGTATTTACTTAAAAATAAAAATGTACAATAAACTATCAAATAAAACAATGCAATTAACATCAACAGAATTTAAGAACAAAATAAAATAATATTTCGAGCAACATACTTTTTACAATGTGACGGAATATCTGAATTCCAATATAAAATTATGACAATTTACATTAAGTAACTTTTATTAGTATGTTATATATTATTTAATTTATTATTTTGAATATTTAAAATAATAATTGTGACATAATATCTTAAAAATGTAATTACTATTGATGTGCTATTGTGTAACGAGATTTGTTACATTTGTGAATAAAGTAATAATAATAATAATGTATATTAACTCATTACTTATAAATTAAAATTATTGTTATGACCCGGTTAATAATATAAATTACCAAGCATCGATTTAATAGGATTAAGGTCTTAATCCATTAAAAAAAAGTTATAATATATATTAAAATGACGTAAATATGTCTTACTACCAAAAAAAAGTATTTTAATAGACAAAATATTTTAAAATACAAATTTCATTAGTAGCTATAGTAAATTCAAATTCAAAAATCATTTATTCATATAGGACATTTTAGCCGCTTATGAACATCAAGTTTTTTACATTATAATTTTAATTTTTCCCTTTTATATGTATGAGAATGGAATAGTGCACCGGCCTGCGCTAACGGTCCACGCTGGTGGGGCACCAGTGGAGTATGATAAGAGCATGAAATCAGATCTGTCAGCTCATCTTCGCAATTTACCATGTTGGTTTCAGACAAATATGAGCAACAATAGGTTATTACTCCACATTACTAAGAATCGCCTTATCCCTATTAATATATATTGTTAACTATCCCACGGGAAATCTTTAATTTTCCGTGATTAAAAGTATCTAAGATGTTGACCGGGGGTGTAAGCTACCTGCATGCAAAATTTAATTAAAATCAGTCCATCAATTTCGGAGATTAGACAGAGAAATAATAAATTTGAAAAAAATCTAAATGTGTTCCATTTCCTTCTTACATCGTCTGCCTTGGTTTTTGGCGTTTTTTTTTTTCGATGTACAGACATTTGACCTGTACTGTTTTATTATAAGTGTGTATAGATGTATGCAATTACAAAAAAAAGTATCTATGTATTTAAGGCAATTAGACGACCTCGGTGGTCTAGTGGTTTAGCACACCGCTTTACGTCCGATGGTCGCGGGTTCGATTCCTCGCACGGCACAAACATTTGTATTCATGAGTATGATTGTTTGTGTCGGTCTGAGTGTTTTCTATGTATAATATGTATGTATTTACGAAAAAATATATATCTATGTATTTGTATCAGTTGTCTAGTACCCATAACACAAGCTTTAGCTAGCTTAACTTGGGTCTTGATGAAAGATTAAATGTGTCTAAATTAAAAAAAAAATGTTTGTTGAAAAAAAAAATAATGTAGTGTCTTAAAAGTAGGACAGTGGGAAGAATAGGTTAAAAAGGATGATAAAAAACTACAGTATCTTAATACAATATATTTATACGTATAATTAGGAAAAATCACGGGATCTTACCACGTTTTATATTTATTTGCTGAGTTACCGATATTTCGGCAGTGTTTCAACCACCATGATCACGGGTACACTGAACAGCAGCGGGTAGATGGAAAATGAAATCTTTTTATGGGCAGACATATGCGTCTACCTTCACACGTCTTCGTTTGTTGCTACTACTGGAACTCGCTCGATATTCATCTCGGCAAACTGTACTCACAGTATCTTCACGTACATTTAATACACTTTTCGATCGCGTTTTTTTGTTTTTGTTTAATTAAACCAATCACTGGATTCCAGGAATTAGAGAGCCTGTAACCGTCTTATCGATTGAAATTTTTATATTTCTGTATTTCAATGACCTCTCTAAGCATTCTTGGCTTATAATGCTGTTCTGATGTTAATACTTTTGGTTGATGTAGTTCAATCCAGTGATTGGGTCCCGATCCCAACAACTTTTTTTTTTTTCTTGGGGAAATCCGTCATGGAGGCCCGCCCGCTCCAGGGGTAACGAGCGGGTACTGCCGGACTCCTACCGGCTAAAACCCCAAGGTGTACCTCTACTGCTTGTTGCCGGAGCTCCGGGTGTGCGCGAGCATTCTTCCGCAGCTCCGACGGCGGGGACCCATCTCAGTAGACGGGTCACTACTCTTCTTCAGAAGAAGTAGCGCGGGTACACGCGCGCACCTTCTCAAGGCTGCGATGTCGACGGGGAGGCAGCCGCCCCCACGGCCGCCGCCCCTGGCCCTTGCGGAGGGAGAGGAACAACATCCCTCCTCCGTCTAGCTCGTCTCCGACGAATTGGGTCGGCGGAGGAAGCAATTTCCGATCCCAACAACTTAATACAACATAACTCAACCTAAGATTGCAATGTTTTTTTTTTATTTGTCAACAGTTGCTGACACATGTGAACGTCTCCTGGTGTCAGTCGATAACAGAGAATGGCGTGGAGGCGCTGGCCAGAGGCTGTCCTAAATTAAAAAGTTTTATATGTAGAGGTATGTAGTCATTAGATAGTATAAAACAAAGTCGCTGTCGCTGTCTGTCCGTCCCTATGTATGCTTAGTTTTGTTTGTAGAGGTATGTAGTCATTAGATAGTATAAAACAAAGTCGCTGTCGCTGTCTGTCCGTCCCTATGTATGCTTAGTTTTATATGTAGAGGTATGTAGTCATTAGATAGTATAAAACAAAGTCGCTGTCGCTGTCTGTCCGTCCCTATGTATGCTTAGTTTTATTTGTAGAGGTATGTAGTCATTACATAGTATATAACAAAGTCGCTGTCGCTGTCTGTCCGTCCCTATGTATGCTTAAATATTTAAAACTACGCAACGGATTTTGAAGCGATTTCTTTTAATAGATACGACGTTTCTAGAGGAAGCTTGATTAAAGTGGAACGAGACTTGATTAGACTTGATTAGAGACGAAGGAGGAAATAAATAAGGCTATATTATGATGTATTATAATAATACAGTAAAAATTAGAAGCATAAAAATAGAATAGAATAGAAAATCATTTATTCAAATAAACTTAATTTAAGCAATTTTGAATAATGATAACAATTTGTTTTTTATCTACCACTAAATGTAAATACCAATTGAATAAGATAATATAAGAAATGGTCTGTAGGGTAAGGAAGAAGCAGATGAGGTCTGTCGGATAAGGAAGAAGCAGATGATAAGCAGTAAAATATATAAAAATCCAAAAAACTGTAAATACCAATTGAATAAGATAATATAAGAAATGGTCTGTAGGGTAAGGAAGAAGCAGATGAGGTCTGTCGGAGAAGGAAGAAGCAGAGGATAACATGAAGTGTCTAATTGCATGTTTCAGGTTGTAAGAATGTGAATGACAAAGCAGTCTCGTGTCTGGCTACCTACTGTCCAGATCTGGAGGTGCTTAACGTGCAAGGATGTGATGTAAGTAGCATAGAATAGAATAGAACAGAACGTAAACAAACTCTCTCCAATAAATATACTGGTATTTCAGGCGTCCATAAGCTACGGTAACCGTTTACCATCAGATGGGCCGTATGCTTGGTTGCCATCTACGTGGTATAAAAAAAAGTTGAATGACGAGCGTGTATGGCAGTAGTTGTTCATGCACGGGATTTTCATTTAATGTTAGATATAGACACCTATATAAATATAGAAAATAATTGTAATAATAATTTCATCTCCTCTCTCCTTACGTCCCTCCAGTCTCCCTCTCGTCTACTCCAGCGAGCACCGGTTCTGCGACAGATATGACCAGCCATCGGGACCTTAGTTCTCTGACCCATATCCTTACTAATATTATATCTTCATCCACAGAACCTGACAGATGAGTCCATCTCGAAGCTGGGTGGCAGTATGAGGAGGCTGTGCGTGTCAGGGTGTACCAGGCTGACGGATGCAGCCCTGGCATCACTGGCGGCCCGCTGTCCGGACCTGGTGACCCTGGAGTTGGCCCTGTGCGCGCAGCTTACCGACGCCGGCTTCCAGGCGCTTGCTAGGGTGGGTATACCGTTAGCTCTCACTGTTATACGATGACCTTGGTAAATGGACCCTATATGGACAAATTCACCAAGAATTTATCACGATGGTTTTATCGTTTCCCTCCCCAATTGTTCAGGGTTATTTATTATTGCTCCGCAACAGTCATATGGTTTCTCCAACAGAGCTGCAGACTGCTAGAGCGTATGGACTTGGAGGAGTGCGTGCTGATCACGGACGCTACCCTGGTACACCTCGCGATGGGCTGCCCCAGGCTGGAGAAGCTGGTAAGCCCAAATCTAGATGTCGCTGCTAAAATGTACACCTCGATGACGTTTCGTTTTGGTCCATTCACATTTTTTTTCCGGATTACTCTAATGCTGTTGTCCGCAGCTGGCCTTTACAGCTTCACCGGACGATAGGGGCGAGTGCAGATGGCACTCCAAACCAAAGGAAGGACTTATGGAGCGGCTGAAGGCCAACTCCCGCCTGACAGATACGACTTTAGTCTGAGGGCACCGCTAGGGGTTCGAACCTCGACTCAGGCCGTCGTAATATCGATCCCCGTTTGAATTGGACGGGGGATCTATCGGAGGGGGCATATTATTGTTCTCATATTCAACGTGTCACGTCATAATGCCAATTTCATATGTAAGGACCTAATATTATGTTCAGCGTGTCACGTTGTCCGCCGCCGGCCACTAGATGGCGCTGTCACAAATGTACACCTCGATGACGTTTCGTTTTGGTCCACACATATTACTGTGCTTTGCTTTGCGTTTGCTATTGTTCAGCTACTCTTATAAAGCTTCAAGAACTTCTTATTCTTACAATAAATATTTTTGCAATGTAAATCGTTTTTTTATGATTTACATCAATCTAATGGTAATTCATATCTATACATATAAATAAAATTGGAGTGTCTGTTTGTAATATTGCAATAACAGTTTTTTACTACATGCATATGAATATAAATACGGTACATACCGTCCCATCAAAATCGGTCCAGCCATTCCAGAGATTAGCCGAAACAAAGAGATCTATAGACAGACAGACAAAAATTGTAAAAAATGTTATTTGGTGTAAATACCGTATTTATATTCATATGCATGTAGTAAAAAACGGTTATTTCAATATTACAAACAGACACTCCAATTTTATTTATATGTATAGATATTATATTCTATTCTATGTCCAGACATGTGGCAGCGTGGTGGGCCGTGTAAAATATGGTCGAGTGCAGTGATGGCTGGCTCATCCGTCATACTCGTGAACGAGTGCTGCTTGTAGGGGCTGGTCTGCTCTTATCACTACGACTGATTTAATCTTATTGCATATTTATATTTGACCCAAAAAATTAGTGCTGGTTGGTAGTTTGTATTCACACGTTTCGACTTGTAAATATGAACTTACTAGGAGTATTTAAAAGAGCAACACACAAAACTTTCTTGCTCGTTCTTGTGATGAGACAGCTTTCCGAACGAGTGGTAGATAAAAAACAAATTGTTATGACTATTCAAAAGTGCTTAAATTAAGTTTATTTGAATAAATGATTTTCTATTCTATTCTACTCTATACTTGTTCTCAGACCTTGTCCCACTGCGAGCTGATTACAGACTATGGCATCAGGCAGTTATCTATGTCGCCGTGTGCCGCGGAACACCTCACCGTACTGGGTAATTTTTTTTATGTCTAATCTTTAGCCTGGCCTTGGTCCCTTTTATTTGGGGTCGGCCCGTCTGGTCAGTCTTCACCAGGACGTTCTGTCCTGTGTCGTCTGGGATGTTATTTTGGCGCTTTTTATATCCCTCTCAATAACGGACCTCCATGTGAGACGGGGTCTGCCGCGTCTTCTGGGCTGGGTACTTATGTCAGGCACTGTTCTTGTCATGTGGTCTAATGCTCGCATGACAATGACCGTACCACCTTAGGCGTACCTCTAAAATCTTCTCCTGTAATCAGGAGAAGATTTTAGAGAGCCTCTAAGATCTTCTCCTGTATGGGAGTCACCATAAAACTACCTCGAACATGGATTTTTGTTTTTTTTATGTCTAATGTAATTAATTAATTTAATTTGACATCCTCGGCTTTGGCTCGGTCTGAAACTCCGCCTAGTGTGTTATAACTAATGTGACCAGACGTCCCGTAATGAACGGGACAGTCCCTTTTTATAATTACGAGTCCCGGTGTCCCCGAAACGGCTAGTTTTCATGGGACGAAATATACTGTCCCGTTTTCGGTAACGGTGCGAAATGTTACTTGTCGACGAGCCTATTGTATTAGTTGTTGTAACTAGCAATCGAGTATAAAAAAATGTGTATATGAGATGTCATTCTTACTTAAATACTTCTAAAAAGTCAAATTTGTTCCTCCGATAACAAAACATTTTATATTTTTCAGATAAATATAAACTATCTATGAATAAACAAAATGTTTAATTATATTTATCGGATATATTTAATTCATCTCTTTTTCTGAATAGGTAAATTTAAAAAGATTTTTAATATTGGACTATCATGTCAATTGTGTTTTTGAATAAATGGTCACATTAGTTATAACCATCATAACGCACTTATAGCGTAATAACAATTGTGTCTCATGTATCGTTTAGTCAATAGGTCTTTTAGAGGAATGGGTATAAAACTCTACAATAAGATACCAAAGGATGTACTGGAATTTCCTTTAAATAAATTCAAAATATCTGTTAAATCAGATACTGACATGATCATCCTGTACCCGCAGAGATTTTTCTTATAAACTACCTAATTATGCTAGAATAAGGGCTATTTATTGTAGTAAACATATATATACATACTACATAAACATATATATACAATACTATTTTGCATGCCACTACTATGGCAAAACACATGATACTAAGTTTTAATTACCATCTTTTATACTGTGTTTTTTAAGCAAATAAATTATTATTAAATTATTATAAATTATTATTATTATTATACATAACTTTTAACAGTAGTTTTTTTATATATCAGCAAAGCCTATTACTCACTAAACGATCACTTGAATGACGAGCGTGCATGGCAATAGTTGTTCATGCACGGGATTTTCATTTAATGTTAGACATAGACACCTATATAAATATACATTGTAAATAAACTGGCTTTTAAAAAAAGTTCAGTTGAGTTTCTTGCCAGTTCTTCTCAATTCCGCACACTTTATTTATTTAAAAGAGCAACACATAAGTTTCTTGCTTATTCTTCTTGTGATGAATCTGCATTCCGAATAAGCGGTAGAATAAAAAAACTTGACTATTCAAAAGTGCTTTTATTATGTTTATTTGAATAAAGATTATTTCTATTTCTATTGAATCTATATACTGAACTGGACCGTGGAGAAAATTATTAATACAAAATACTTGACGTTTATAGGCGGCTAAAATGTCCTACATGAATAAATGATTATGTATTCGAGTCATCCGCACACTTTACATAATATCTAATTAAATTATAACCTATGTGTTATTCTGATGCATAAGCTATATTACTGTAAAGTTTCATGAAAATCCGTTCAGTAGTTTTTGCGTGACAGAGTAACAAACATCCATACTTACAAACTTCGCATTTATAATATTACTAGCTTGTGCACGCGGCTTCGCTCGCGTTAATTTAGCATCTTAGGGGTGGAATATATCAAAAGCCTTTCTTAGGGGATGCCTACGTCATAGTAGCTTTATGAATGCAAAATCTCAGCCCGATCGGTTTAAAATTGACAAAGTTTCATCCCTATTTTATCCCCTTGGGGGTAGAATGAATCAAAATACTTTCTTAGCGGATGCCTACGTCATAACATCTACCTGCATGCCATATTTCAGCCCGATCCGTCCAGTGGTTTGGGCTGTGCGTTAATAGATCACTATGTCAGTCACCTTTGAGTTATATATATTTAGATTATGATTAAGATTAGGACACTAAATCGAAATATAACAGATTTATTTTGTTACTGAAGTAATTATTATATTTCGATATGCCGAGATTGCTACATGGCAGTTCGTAGATACAATTTTTTTTTAAATGTAATTTTGAACAATATTTTTTTAAGTCTGCGTTCCGAATGAGCGGTAGATTAAAAAAAATGTGATAACTATTCAAAAGTGCTTCAATGTAAGTTTATTTTACTAAATAAATAAATAGTTTTTCATTTCATTAATTCAAAACACCCAGATCGATATAAACAATCATACTCATATACACAAATGTTTGCGTCGAGGATTCAAACCCACGATCATCGGAACTAAACCAGTATGCTAACCTACTAGACCATCGAGGTCGTCAGTAACCTCTCTTGTGGTGCAGGTTTGGACAACTGTCCCCTGGTGACTGACGGTGCGCTGGAACACCTGATCTCCTGCAACAATTTGCAGCTCATCGAGCTGTACGACTGCCAGCTAGTGACGAGGAACGCTATAAGGAAGCTGAGAGTAAGTAAACATATAGTACACAGGATATAAGTAAACATATAGTACACAAGATAAGACATAAATTGATATAATGTAATAAAATAATGTCAAATATTTAGAAACTATTTGTATTTTTTGAGTTAACACATATAGTCGAAACTAGATATAATGTAATAACTGAAAACTTACAAATATTTAAAACTAGACTTTAATATCAAATATTTAGAGTGCATTTTACAATATTTGTATTTTTTGAGTTAACACATATGTTCGACTCTAACTAGATATAATGTAATAACTGAAAACTTACAAATATTTAAAACTAGACTTTAATATCAAATATTTAGAGTGCATTTTATAATATTTGTATTTTTTGAGTTAATCACACTTATTATAATATTGGCGTAACTCAAAAATTTTAAAATTTTGGAAAGTCCACTTTATGATTGTGGCTTTAAAGACTAATTTCAAAAATTTAAAATTTCTGAACTACACCAGTATTGTATTAGATATGCGATATGTTAAATTCAAATACTTAATCACTGGATATAATGTAATAACTGAAAACTTACAATTATTCGAAATTAGACTTTAATATTGAAACATTAGAGTACATTTTACAAAATTTATATTTTTGAGTTAAAACAAACTGCGCTAACGGTTTACGCTGGCGGGGCGCCAGTGGCGGATGATAAGATGAGCATGAGGTCAGGTCAGTTAGCACATCGTGACAAATTCAGCAAGAATTTATCACGATGGTTTCTAGGGGGAACCGCATAGAGATCCTGACATGGTACTTTGCTAGCAATAAGATCATCAGTCCACATTACTAACAATGCCCTCCGCCCAGTGATAACATGTGGTTTTGCTTCAGAATCACCTGCCGAATATAAAGGTGCATGCGTACTTCGCCCCGGTGACGCCCCCGGCCGGGCCGGGCGGCGCCAGGCCGCGCTACTGCCGCTGCTGCAACATCATATGAGCCGACGCCACGGTATAACAATATCTTTTTTTTTATTTATTTCCACAGATAGCTAATTTTATCTATCTCCATTAAAATTAATTACAATTTTCTTTTATTAACATTTTATGGTATACCACCCTATATGTACATATTATAAATTACAATCAGAATCTAATCAAACTAAATTAATCAATTATAATTAAAAACAAACTTAGACCGAATATAACCCAAAAACTATCAATAAATAAAATGAAATCAACGTTATACAATAACTAGCTTTTGTCCGCGGCTTCGCTCGCGTTATATTATCCCCTTAGGGGTGGAATTTATCAAAATTCTTTCTTAGGGGATGCCTACGTCATAGTAGCTTTATGCATGCAAAGTCTCAGCCCGATCGGTTTGAAATTGACAATTTTTTTATTATTATCATTAAAAATACATACAACCATAAATTTTCGCACTTCTATCACCAACCCCTAGTTTTTACTATACTCCTCTGAAACGGCTTCATCGATTTTTATGAAATTTTATATGCATATTCAGTAGGTCTGAGAATCGGCTCTTTTGTCTTAGCGGATGCCTACGTCATTAAAAAATACATCTACCTGCATGCCAAATTTATTAATTTATATGGCAAAACAACGTTTGCCTGGACAACTAGATCCGTCCAGTGATTTGGGCTGTGCGTTGATAGATCACTATGTCCTCTATCCGCTAAGAAAGGATTTTGATTAATTCCACCCCCAAGGGGATAAATTAACGTGAGCGAAGCCGCGGGCGAAAGCTAGTTGATTTATATGGCAAAACAACGTTTGCCGGGACAGCTAGTATTAAATAAAGATTAATATCTTTTACAGAACGAAATATAAGCAGTACGCGCTGAGGATCGTCCCACTCATCATCAGATTGAGTGCCTGGTTCACCAGGAACCCAACCAGGAACAGCATTTATCACAGCATCCGGACCACCCATCTCGTTCAGTGATCTACCGTCTTTACTGGTTTGTCTTAACTAAGGATGTTACGGAGCTCCGTAACCGTAACTGAAACCGATATCCGATATAAAAATATATTTGTAACCGTAAGCAAATCTGAAATAACTTTCGGATGATATCGGATAGGGGCGGAGCCTAATTGAGACACGTTATGTAACCATTTTATTAGCTATTTGTATTTTACTTTTGAAATGACTTAAAAAATTAATATCCGTAACCGAAATTATCCGAAACTAACGGATGATCCGAAATAATTTCATATCCGTATCCGGTATAATAATCATTCCTATATCCGAAACCAATCCGGATCCGAAATTTCATATCCATAACATCCCTGGTCTTAAACTTTTTACTGGATTTACTTTTCCAAAAATAACCACTCATCCAGAGTGGTCTAACTATACTATAGTCCTCAACTGGTTTGTCTATACTTGTTTAGTGATTTTTTCACTAAAATATTACTCAATTAGTTTTTTTCTATATTCTACATCTAATAATTGTTCCTTATATCAAATAGAAATAGAAATAATCTTCATTCAAATAAACTCAATACAAGCACTTTTGAATAGTCACATCTTTGATCCTACCACTCATTCAGAACGCAGACTCATCACAAGAACGAGAGAGAAACTTGCGTGTCGCTCTTTTGAATAAATGTTTTAAGTAGATTTACATTAACAAGGATTAGGCATGCGACGTTATCATTATTTCTGGTTGGGATATTGAGAATATAACGAATTTTCGAAAACGAAACGCGATATAATTGTATGCATGTAGATAATGAGCCTTATTAATAAATTAATAAATATATGGTAATATGATAATGGTATTAGCGACAGTTATACTGACAAAAGTGGTCTTTTTACGATTGTATGTATGATTCCGGGTGTTTTCTATGTATAATATGTATGTATTTAAAAAAAAAATTTAAACTTAAGTTATGGGTACTAGACAACTGATATATTTCTACCCATAACACAAGTTTTACTTAACTTGAGACTAGATGGCGTTGTGTGAATTCAAAATTATTCAGCGTGGAAACTTGTTTACGATTATGACCTCCTCTATTGGTGATAAGTAGTCCCAAGCTAAGCAGAGCTTGGGACTAGATGGCGCTGTGTGAATTGACAGTGTATTATTATCTACTAGCTGTGCTCACGGCTTCACCCCCGTGAATTTTGTAGCCTATGTTATTCTGATGTATAAGCTATGTCACTAAAGTTTCAACAATCAATTGAGTAGTTTTTGCGTGAAAGAATAACAAACATCCATCCATACTCAAGAACTTTCGCGTACCTATATAATACTAGCTGTCCCGGCAAACGTTGTTTTGCCTTAAAATAAAAAAACATTAGGGGTGGACTACCCCTAACATTTAGGGGATGAAAAATAGATGTTGGCCGATTCTCAGACCTACTCAATACGCTCACAAAATTTCATGAGAATAGGTCAAGCCGTTTCGGAGGAGTATGGGAACGAAAACTGTGACACGAGAATTTTATATATAAGATTAGTAAGATATTGTATATAGGTTCTGGAGATCGGGAGCGTTTTGTGCTAATTCAATGAAAATTACGAAAATGCATCCGCATATTGATCCAAGTGCGTAAATAAATAAAAAAAAAATTACTTACCTGATTTGTATAAGGTAACACGGTAGTAATGGAAATAACTGTAATGCACAAGTATTGGTTTATTACTGACTGTTATTGAGTTACCGGCTATCTTACATTATTAGAAGATAATTATAGTAATAGTGTTTTTTTTTTATGATAATGGAATGATGCACCCGCCTGCGCTAATGGTTTACGCTGGCGGGGCACCAGTGGAGGATGATAAGATGAGCAGGTCAGGTCAGTTAGCACATCGTGACAAATTTACAAAGAATTTATTATGATGGTTTCCAGGGGGAACCGCGTGGAGGTCAACCTGACATGGTAAATTGCTAGCAATGGGGTCATCAGTCTACATTACTAACAATTCCCTCTCCCTCTATAATAATAGTGGTAGGTAGTTACACATAAATATCTCTATAAGTGTAACAAAAACATCTTAACATGGCAACACAAACCGCCGAAGCCAAAAGAAGAAAAAAACATCTTAACAGCTCGTAGTAGAGAAATGTATCAATTAATACAGCGCCATCTAGTTCTACTAGTATCAAACGTACCTGTACTAATGTTATAAAGCTAAAGAGTTTGTTTGTTTGAATTAATCTCAGGAACTACTAGTTCGAATTGAAAAATTATTTTTCTGTTGGATAGTCCATTTTTCGAGGAAGGCTTTAAGCTATATAACATTACGCTACGACCAATAGGAGCCGAGGTGCAATGGAAAAATATTGCAAAAGGTGGGGAAATGAAACGCAGACGAAGTTGCGCGGGTCAGCTAGTATATCTATATATACTAGCTAGCTGTCCCGGCAAACGTTGTTTTGCCATCTAAATTAATGGAACTTGTATCACTTTTCTCAATATAACTATCGCAGGTAATTTATTTTAACAAATGCCTTATTACTGTACATACATACGGTGTGGAGTGACAGTTGTGTTTCCCGCCAAAAAACAAGGAGTCGGCCATGATGCTGAAGACAACGGCTGTATGAGCGTAGACTCTTTGCCTAACCTATAAGGATAAAATAAAACTAAAAAAAAAGAGTGATCTACCCCATTTTGGTAAGATCCCGTGATTTTTACTAATTATACGTATAAAAAAAAAGAGGTCCGCCATTTTGATGTGTCAAACGTGACGCCATTTTTGTTGACGTAATAATCGATTCAATTAAAATGTATTTTTATATTCATCATTGAATAATAGTAATTTTTTACATATTTTATTTCCTCAGACCCTTTATTAGAAATATATTTATCATTGAATGTTAATACAGTTTTACATATATAATATGCAGCCCTTTTACGACAGATAGACTTAGTGCTAACTCGTCTGCGTCTGTACCTCAGTCTCACCTATATCAGCTTGCTTTGTAAGCTTTCGGTTGTAGTGTGCAGATTAGGCAGTGAAATTACAGGATATGTAGGTATGGACATATGAGTCCTTTGGAATGGTAAAGCTGGAACCAGGACATGGCGAAATAGGTAAATATCTTATTTACCATAAAATTTCTAATAATAATATGAATATTCTTTGTCTGCATTCTTAAAACGTATGATAACTCATACAAAATACTGTAGGTATATATAGTGACTTATTCGCTATGCCGAATTTGTGCTCCGAATTTAAATCAAAAGTTGATCGTGGTATAAGGCCTTTACATATAGAAACTAGCGTCTCCTGTGCATAAAATTAAAAAAAAAGTTACGTTGTTTGTGTTAAATTTAAAAGTTGATTAACTGTACGGTCTGTGGATCTTCGCCTGTTCTATCATTGAAAAGATAGACGAATATGGGAAAAAAAATATTTGTGTTAATGTGATTTTTAGTAATTATATTTTGTTATGCAGGTAGTATTATTGTAATATTTAATTTTTGGATCGCAGGTTCGATTCTGGCATAAAATCAAAAGATACATGTTTAGTAATAAATAGTAATTATATTAATAATTAATATTTTTTGTTTTAGTTTAAATTTGTGTTTAGCGTTTTTGACAATAGCTTCATATGAGCGTACTTTTTAGATCAAGCTTATTATTTTTTTATATACGTATCGGTCCATCTTGAATACAATTTATTTAAGAGAGGAGTTTTTTTTATAATTTTTTGAAACGTACTAGTACATATCAAATTATGATATACGATATACATGTATAAATATATATGTGTATAATATTAAGAACGAAAAAATTTATCTTCTAGAATATTCTAGACCATTCAATTACGTTCTTTTATTCATAATTTTTGTGGCATTTTCTAGGCGCAATAAAGAGGAATTTCTTGCCTTCCATTGTACGATAAAGCTAACTGGAAGCTATGGCGTGAAATTATTAAAAAAAAGTTTAAATAAATATTACTGTTTGAAAATAGAATTCAAGACCAGTAAATATGAAGTCAAAGTAAATATAAGTTCTATGTTC